TATCAAACCATATGATAGCAATTTGGGCTTTAATTAAAAAAAAAAAAGAAGAAGCGAATTTGAACTGAAAATAAAGCCATAACTTATCAAGAATATAAAACATTAATCTTTAATAAAATCTGTTTTCTACAAAACGGTGATTCTCAAGGCATCGGTGGCAGGGCTTCTGTACAGGAGGGCTGCGGTGGTGGGTCACGATGAGTGTCTCACTTCTTCCTGTTCTTTGCCCCCGTGGGTGCCTCGTTCTTCTTGCCCAGGATCTTCATGAGTCCCTTGGGCATATAGTATGGCCGTTGCTGGGAACCGTCATTTCTCTCCAGGTCTTCGACTGAGCGGTGGCAGAGGAGATCGATTGGTCAGGGTGGATCATGATAATGGCGCCCGACTGTACCCCCAAGACAATCTGGGATGTGTAAACCGAACAGCCGAACAGCCTGGTTTCCTTTCCAAGCCATTTAATGAAATGTGACATAACCTCCCCGGCAGGCTGTATAACCTGTTTCTCCTCACCCGAAGTGAGATAAATAACATGTGTCATGGGGTGATAACGGGATAAAGAAAAATCCCATGCCAGTCCATCATGGTGTCTATCTGCAATCCCGACATTAAGGAGGTAGACACCAGAGGGCTTAGAATACAGGGGCCCCTGAGGTCTCCACAGCAAAACTGTCTTGAGAACGGTTGTGCATGCCCTGCTTGGGAGGCAGAGGTCAGAAGATTGTTTTGAGTTGGATCCAGCCTAATCTATATAGCAAGTAGGAGCCAGCCAAGAATACACAGAGAGGCCCGGTGTAAATAAATTAAAATTTAACCAACAAGCAAAAACCATAAAACAATAAAATATTCATGTCCATTGCTTAGTGCATGGCTGGGGGACTGGTACTGTGGTGGGGGTATTCCTGCGTCACAGGCACAAGGCTCTAGCTTCTATGTCATCATCACCATTGTCACCAGGACAAAAACCACCAGAATTCCAGCACTTGGGGGCTGAGGTAGGAAGATCATGACTTTGAGCCAGCCTTAGCTATAGACTTAGTCCCAGGTCAGCCTGTGCTATATATAGTATGATCCTGTCTCACTTCTATGCATTCCCCTCCCCCCCCAAAAAAAAACTAAATAAAAGAAGGAAGAACCCTCCCCCCACACACACACACACTATGACTACCTCCTAGGAAGTGTATTGTGTTTAAATTCTACTTACATTTCCTAGCCAGGCCTCCGTCTGAGGTTCCTCCTCTCTGAGACTGCTCGGGGTATGTTCCCTTCTTTCTTCCCTAAACCTCTAGCCTTAGAATCTCTGAAGACATTCCCTCTGGCTCCTTTAGTTCACAAAGCTACAAGCAACCAGTCTCTAAGAGAACCCTGGGGGGCGGGGCAAGAGCTTGAGTGTGGGTGGGGGGTTGGTGGGGGACACTCACGGAAGCAGAGGAAGAGCGTGTCTACACACATCCCAAAGACGCTGAAGAAGCCACTGGCAATGACGTAGGCTCCCATGATGGAGGTCTACAAGAGGCAAGACTGATTGGGACCCCCTAGGCTCCTCCGGGGATGTGGGTGGGGCAGAGAGAAGTGTCACTCACCATGATGGGCAGCCAATAATAGTTGAGGTCGGGGTTTTCAAATGTCCCCTTGATACGACCGGAGAAAAAGAAAAAGGACAGGACGCCTGTGGGAAAGAGTCCTGCGGTCAGGGCTGTTCTTCCGAGGACCCCCACCTCCCGCACTCCAGCGGGCTCCTGACACCATAAACCCTGGTCTTGACCCTTACCGACACCTCCAACCACCAGAAGCTTCCCAAAGAAGAGCAGCAAGTCAGTGACTTTATCCAGGACGACCACCCTACATGGAAGTCAAGGACAGACTGGGGTGAGGGACCTGGCAGGGCAGGGAGGAGTGAGACCTCTTCCCATTTTAACACAGTGACAGCATGGCACTGGACCAAGCACAGGACGTTTCTGAGACCAGCTCTGGGATGGGAGGAGTGGGTAGGGGACCCCACTGGGGGGTGGTCTGACCTGAGGACATTCCTCATGAGCAGCATGAAGGCATTTTTGGCCGAGACACAAAAATTCTTCCCGTAGATGGCGATCTGAGAGGACCAGGAAAAGTCTGAGCCACACTTTTGGTGAGCTTGCCCACCTGTCGGTGGAGCCCGGGCTGAGGGGCACAGAGCAAGGGCTGCTGGAGGCTCTGCTCACCATGATGTAAGCATTACGGTTCAGGAACTTAATGAACTTCTCCAGACACCAGAGGCAACACTTGAAGCAGCAGATGATGCAGCGGGCCACAGGATTCTGGGATCCTGGGAACAAAGGACATTCATGTTGCCAGCCACCAGCTTTTGCCTGTCTGCCTGCCCTTCTAAGGCTCTGGCTGCTCAGCCTACCACCGTCCGCTCACCTCTTAGCTTGTGGTCGATGTATTCCAGGATAACCCGGGCTATCTGCACAAGGGTCAGGATGAGGGCTCCAAATGCCAGGGAGCCAGTGTGGTAACTGCGGAGGATAGTTAGGTAAGTTGAGGCACCCCAGGACCCGTGATATTCCTAGAACTAACACATCCCTGGGGGGCTGCCTCTAGCTTACCGAAGTGTGCGGATGAAGGCTGAGCTCAAGGGGAAGGTGGGGATGTCTCGAGGCTTGTGAAAGGCCCAGTAGAAGGAGGCAAAGGCCCCGGCAAGGACACACTGACCCAGGGCCAGTACCCAGTTAACAGTCCAGAAGAGCCCCAGGACTCCATAGATTTGTAGGTTGAAGAGAGAACGTTGGGCTAGGCCCGTGGTTGAGTAACCCTTGAAAACGCACGTGAGCCCTTGGCACGAGGAGTTCACTGGGGCCTGGAGGTGACAAGGACACAGGAGGGAGTTACAGGCAAATCCTCGGCCTCCCCTGTTCCTAATGGTCTCCAGACTCAGACCACCTCAGTGCTGCTGAAGTGAGTAAGCATCTTCCTGCTTTCCAGACTGGCACAAGAGCTCTCTCTCCCTCCTACTTACCCAGCAGCCTGCTCTGGAGAAGCCTCTGAATGCAATGAACGTACTGTGGGTATTTAGTGATACTGAAGTGGCTCTGTTGGCTGCAGAGTCACGAAAGAGTTATAGTGTGTATGTGTGTGTGTGTCTGTGTGCATGTGTCTGTGTGGTGTGTGTGCCTGTGTGTGTGCATGTTCAAAGGTATGCGTGTGCTTGTGTATGCATGTGCGTATTTGTATGTGTGTGCATATGTTTGTGGGGTGTGTGTGTGTGTGCGCAAGTACCTGCATGTGTGTGTGGTATGTGTGTGTGTATGGTGTGAGTGTGTGGTATGTGTGTATATGTGCGGTGAATGTATGTGTGTGTGAGTGTGTGGTATGTATGTACACATGTGTGGTACA